TGGGGGGGAAGTGGAGGGCAATGGAGGGAGGAGCGGGAGAATGGATGGAGGAGCTGGAGAATGGATGGAGGAGCAGCATGTGGGGTCCCTGGGGATGGAGAAGGGCTGATAAGGGCGACTGCATCCCAAAAGCTCATCAATCCCCCTCCGTGCATCCCATTACCCGCCCTCAGCACTCCATGCCGGCCTCAAGGAGGTGGAGCAGGAGCTGCCTGGAGCCGAGGATCTGGACGGGGCAGCCCGGGCGCTGATGCGGCTGCAGGACGTCTACGCACTCAGTGTCAAGGGCATGGCCAACGGCGTCTTCCAGCGAGCCGGTGCCAGCCGCCCACCCCTCTACAGCCCCGGCCGGCGCGTCTCCCTCTCCGCCGATGACTGCTTCCACGTGGGCAAGGTGAGAGCGAACCCCGTCAGCCCCCCGCAAAGGTTTTCCAGCCCGGGATGTTGCTTCCGTAGGGATAGGCGTTGGGTTTTCTTCCCACGTGGATGTGGAGGGGCCCCTCTGACTTCCCTTGGGGAAGGGAAGAGCTGAGGTGGTGGCGCGGGGGAGACCTGCTGCCCCAGCATCCCGGTTGGGTACAGGGGTGGCCCCCGCCCGGGGGTAAGAGTGGGTCCGTAAATCCCTGGGTGGGGATTTGGGTGATTTGAGAGTGGTTTTTGTTCAGGGTGGAGTCCTCTGAGCGTCACTGCAGAGCTGGGATGGAGTGTTGGAGCGTGGGATGGGATGGGATGGGATGGGATGGAGATACGGGGGGGTGTCAGAGCTTGAGGGATGGGGACAGGGAGGGGACAGGGATGGGGACATGGGGGGGTCAAGGATCGGGACATGGGGACATTACGGAGTCAGAGCTGGGGGGACAGGGAGGGGATGGGATAGGATGGGATGGGACGGGATGGGATGGGATGGGATGGGATGGGATGGGATGGGATGGGATGGGATGGGACAGGATGGCATGGGATGGGGGGACGGGATGGGATGGCATGAGATGGAGGTGGAGGTGCAGACGGAGGTGGGGATGAAAATGGGGATTGAGCAGGATGGACAGGGATGGGAGAGGATGGGGATGGCATGGGAGGGAATAGGGATGGGAAGAGGAAAGCGACAGATTTTGATGGGACCGGATGGGTGGGGATTGCAATGGGATGGGATGACATGGCATGGGATGGGGATGGGTTGGAGATGGGATTGAATGGGATGGGATGGCATGGCATGGCATGGGGATGGGATGGAATGGGGATGGGATAGGAAAGGGATTGGATGGGATGGCATGGGGATGGGATAGAATGGGATGGAGATGGGATTGAATGGGATGGAATGGGGATGGGATGGGATGGGATGGGATGGGATGGGATGGGATGGGATGGGATGGGATGGGATGGGATGGGATGGGA